GGGTGAGAAGGGAGGGTGAGAAAGAGGAGAAAGGGGGGTGAGAAGGAGAAAGGGGGGGTGAGAAGAGAAAGGAGGGGGGGAGAGAAAGAGAAAGGAGGGGGGTGAGAAAGGAGAGAGGGGGTGAGAGAGAAATTAGGAGGGGGAAGAGAAATTAGGAGGGAGGGAGAGATATTAGGAGGGAGGGAGAGATATTAGGAGGGGGGAAAGAGAAATTGAAATTAGGAGGGGGGAAGAGATATTAGGAGGGGGGAAAGAGAAATTAGGGGGGGAGAGAAATTAGGAGGGGGGGGTGAGAAAGAGAAATTGGGAGGAGGAGAAGGAAATTGGAGCGGAAGGAGAGATTGACATACACACAATACACACAATGCACCCCTTGCACACAGAAAAACACACAATGCATTACACACACACACACATACACAAGCAATGCAACCGTTACACACAATGCATCCCTTACACACACAGAAACACACAATGCATTCATTACACACACTCAATGCACCCCTTACACACATTCAATGCATCCCATACATACAAAGAAACACACCTTGCAGCCCTTACACATACAAACACAATTTCACACAATGCATTCCTTACACACATATCAGGACATCCCCTACACACTCCACCCCCTGTGAACAAACCCATTGGTGGAACATGAAGGTGGACCCTGGGACCCAGACCTTGAGCTGTGTAAAGGGCCCCCAAAAAATGGAGCTGCTTCCCGTTCTCCCAGAACATTGATTTTTGTGACCACAGTTACAAACCGCCTGCAGAGAGACTGTTCTGCACCAGACCAGTGAAGCCAGACTGCAGCTAGAGCCCATCATCATCCTCATCTGGTTGTAAGTAGGCAATCTAGTATATTATTCGAGGCACTAAGCTCTAATTTACCTCACATTAAAGAAACACTATAGTCCCCAGAACCACTTCAGCTTAATGTAGTGGTTCTGGTGTCTATAGCCTGTCCCTGCAGGCCTTTTAATGTAAACACGGCGGCACTGCAGCACTGGCGTTAGTTAACATGGCAAATCATATGGGTGGTTGCATTGTGATGTCACATGGGGAGGAGGGGGGCAAACTTTACTTTTGCCTAGGGCGGCAAAAATCCTTGCACCGGCCCTGGCTGGAGGGGGCTGTGGCAGTACAGCTCACACAAGCAAACAGCTGATAAACTGGCCGCACGGAGGAAATGTATGTGCGGATCATTCCACCGCACGCCCCACCCTGCAAATGTGTCTTGTTATGTCCCGCCAGCCTTCACGCGCTTTTGGGGGAGGGGAGGGTAAGCGCTACAGGATCCGCTCCGGTGCCAAATGCTCTAGGCACGCCCCGTCTCAAAGTCTATTGAGACCCATAGGTGTTTGTGGAAAGTGGATGCATTGGGCTGTCCTGAAAACTACATGTATTTTAATGTATTCGGTTAAATTGTATCTATGGATGTGAAACTGTATGCAGCATTCGCCTGATTGTTCGGTAGAATCACTCTAAGCGTTATGCGAATGAAACTACCGAACAGTCAGACCACCCCAGTGGGAAGTGTGCCTCCAATTACCGGCTGCAACAATGTTGCAAACGGGTAATTGCCAATCTGTGCAGTAGGTCCTTTGTTTGCGGGGTGGCCGCCACACGTGGCGGCGGCCATTTTAAAACTCCCGAACAGCGGTGTTTTGCCATCGAGTGTCTGGAACCCAAATCGGACACTCGGCTACGCAAACACCGCTGAGACCTCCACACTGCCCTAAAGTTCGTATCCAAACTACCGAACGGCCTTCCGTTCGGTAGAAAGAAACAACCGAACAAGGGGATTCATGCTAACCCTCCCTAGTCTCTATAGCCCAAGCCTTTCGTGCCATTTATTCCCTTCTTTTGTGACCGACCGCAGGGCCCCAATTTCGGCTGTTCCCTCCAGCGCGGTCAGTCTTTTAATTACCTCAACAGATTTCCCGAACCCCTGGTCCGATCTGGGTGATTTTTGGATATGTCTCTCACCCAGATCAGAGCTACCAGGGGATGTAACATTTAAAGGGGTACCCCTAGGTTTAGGGGTACATCCAGAAACTCAGGGAATTTGCGTGCTGTATAAGGGGATTATGAGTCAGGCTTAGGGGAGGAGATGTGTGGGAGGTTACTCAGGTATGATTGGACACTGTACTAATGACTGTAAATCCCTCCCTTGCATGGGAGCATGCTTTATAAGGCCACTGTGTGAATAAAAGTTCAGTTCTGCTCCTGATGCTGTGTGTCGTCCAGTCATTGAGATTGCTGTTGGGATATTGTTGGATTATTTTGCCTGCTGGAAACCTTGCCTTATGGATTTATAATACTTGTTCCTGAGCCTCACTTGGATCTTAAGCGGAGATAACTTGTGGAATACCAGGTCTCCGCTACAGGTGTTAAGGTGCACATTTCAAAGATCCATTTAACCTCTTGGGTACTCAATTTGTTTGTTTTTTTGTAACTGAAGAACTAAATGTTGTTGCATTTTTATTTGATATATCTGTACTCTTACATGCATTGCACATCCCACAGTGAAATTTTTTTTTTAACTTTTTGACCAACTAGTTAAAAAATTATTATTCGGGATTTCCTTTTCTGAAAAGCTGTTTGTTAAAATTTGTTTGAAATGTTTTGCCCCCCTAAAAACAAATTTGGATTTAGAACCTATAAACTCCTGTAACTGGATTGTCTTCCAAATTATAAAAATATCGTCGATATATCTCTATTTTGGCAGAAGACACGAAAAGATGGGGAAACATACATAATGTCACACAGGCAAATCACCGACCGGAAGCGGTCCCACCACACAAGCGATACTTGGCAGAGGTACCCAGGGAGCTATGCTACATCTTTCACCCAGGTTCTCTGTGTGTCTCTCCCCTGAGCCCCTTTATGTGTCTCTTCTCCCTGTTTGTGTGTCTTTTACTCCACCCACAGCACCTGTGTGCATCCTTTACTTCTCCCAGCTGATCTGTCTCTTTTCTCCTGTCCCCTTTGTGTCTCTTCTTCCCTGCCCCCTTTGTGTCTCTTTCCCCTAGCACATTTGTAAGTCTCTTTCACCCAGCTCCTTTAACTCTCCCCAGCCTTTTGTCTGTTTCTCCCCCAGCCCCTTTGTGTCTCCTTCCCCAGCTCCTTTTGTGTGTTTGCCTCCCCCCCTCCACCAGCCCCTCTTGTGTTCTCTTCCCCTCCTCCCTCCAGGCATGTCATCTTACCTTCATTTTGTAGCCTGACCACATGGACTGTGGTAGAGGATCTTTCTGTCAGACTGGGTAGAGGATAAATACGATCTTCTACCGTGGTCCGTGTGGCCATGCTACATGAACAGATTGGCCATAGAGGGAGTGCTGTGCACTCTTCAAAAATCTTCTTCAAAATCTTGAACATCCAATATGAAAAAAGTGATATAAAAGATAGAACTGATGAAGGAATTAAACAGTTTAGAACATTTGACAACATCTGGGTGGGGTCTTCTTATAAATTGCAAAGACCCCAAACAGTGACTGCTGGCCGAGAGGTGCAGGCAATGGTGAGTTTTACTTACCTGAGCCTGTTCCTACCTGAAGACCCCACAATCTTCCTGTGGGTCCTCTTCAGGTTCTGGAGCTTCAGCGTCATGCATGAGCAAGGTTAGACCCAGAGGTCTATGGAGGGTTCTCCACAGAGCCTTCCCCTAAGCTGTCCCTAGGTGGCTCCACTTCTTGTCGAGCATCGGTCAGGTTACTTTATCTTAATATTTCTTTTGATTGGGTTGGAATTCCAGTGAAATCAATGTGAGTATTCCAAAGAGATCTGATATTTATGTAATACTCATTGTGGATTGGGGAAGACCGAGTCGCTGTATATTTTCCATTCTACAGTCATTTATTTTTTTTACCAGTTTCCAGTTTAGAGAGTTCACCCAAAATGCTGTTTATAAAAGTGCTGGTACACAGTATAGAATTGCATTTTTCATACAATGCTGCAGTCATATTTATATGTTACGTATAATTTAAGGGTTTTCTGATAATTCTACACTCTCAGAGTCAACTCTAATGTCTAACCACAAGCAATAAACACACACCAAAATACTCAATTATTTATCTCAAGTGCAAAAGACTCAGCGCTGCGGTCCCTGTATCATATTACAGTGCTACAAAAACAGATACAAAGATATTGTATTTCCATTTGTAAAACTGATCTTGCAGAAGCTTCCAAGCATGGAGAGAAAGTTACACACTGCTTATTCATCTGTTACATATTGAGAACAATTGTCATGAACGGGAATACATTACTGCACTTACTGTAGTTTAATGTTCTTACAGGTATATGTCAAGGGGACACTACAAGAACCAAAACAACTACATCTTAAAGGGACACTATAGTCACCAGAACAGCTTAATGTATAGTATACAGCTTAATATATGTTATACAGCTTAATGTATGTTATACAGCTTAATGTACAGTATACAGCTTAATGTACGGCATACAGCTTAATATACAGTATACAGTTTAATATAGGTTATACAGCTTAATGTATGTTATACAGCTTAATGTACAGTATACAGCTTAATATACAGTATACAGCTTAATGTACAGTATACAGCTCAATGTATGGTATACAGCTTAATGTACGGCATACAGCTTAATATACGATATACAGCTTAATGTATGTTATACAGCTTAATATACGGTATACAGCTTAATGTACGGCATACAGCTTAATGTATAATATACAGCTTAATTTATGGTATACAGCTTAATGTACAATATACAGCTTAATATACGATATACAGCTTAATGTACAATATACAGCTTAATGTACGGTATACAGCTTAATATACGGTATACAGCTTAATGTACGGCATACAGCTTAATGTACAATATACAGCTTAATATACAGTATACAGTTTAATATATGTTATACAGCTTAATGTACAGTATACAGCTTAATGTAAAGTGTGACGAGAGCAATCTCGCCACATTGCATTGGAGAAGCCTGGTTGTCCGCCTGCTACCTTTGGACTATGGCCCCATGTTAAAAGACATCTTTTTCCCTGCAGAAAAGATTTATTCGTGCTTTTCTGCCCGGTGTTCGGTAGATTCAATCTACCGAACAACTGCACGAATGACTAGACAACCAGGGAGCTGGGGTGTGCCGGCAATTAGCCTCCCAGAAGCTGCGGTTAACCGCAGCTTAATTGACGAATAATGGGTGGCCGCCATTCGTATCACGAACACGAGGTCGCGGCCATTTTAAACCTGCGAACGCACAGCGGTGTTCGACGCTTAATTCATGGAACTAAAATCGGACACAGTTTGGCGCGAACACCGCTGAAGCCGCCGACTTCCCTTCTTGTTCGGCGGGAGTGCACGAACAGCCCGGTGTTCGGTAGTTTTACCTGACTGTATTATACCCCAGATAGGAATCCCATGGAGCTCATTCGTATGAGAACTAACTGTGTAAAGACTTTGGCTCCATGCCGATTGAACTGTATTCGTGTAGTCTGAGCGCCATTTGCTTAATAATGTGCACTCAGACCTGAGCTATCTGGGGACATGTTAAATGTATAGTTTTATGGTTATGTCATGTAATGTATTTTAATTGTAATTCCTGTCTTAGTATCCCCATGTGCATAATGGCGATTTACCTTTGTCTTGGGAGATAATTGAATTACTTCTCAATTATCTCCAGGGCAGAGGGGAGGAAGCCAGGATGCACTGTGGGAATACAATGTGTCTGTGTGTCCTAAATTGATACTTGTCTGTCTTTTGTCACAGTCTCCCATTTGGTCCCCAAGGGGAGTGTCCACCAGGTGGGAGACCATGCTTGACCCTCAACACGGAGCCTTGTCTCATCTTTGTGGGGATTTACTGAATGCTGATAGAGACTGATTGCTAGGAGTGTAAGCCGCTTGGATGCTTTTCCTATTCGTCTGCTAGCAGTGATTCGTATGGTTCCAGTTTGTGTGTTTGGAGTGCTATATTGGATGCTGTTCGGGAGTTTGGAGCATTCCCTTATTTGCGGTTCGGGAGTTTGGTGTTTTACAATAGCTGTGCCTGCATCTCTGAAAGGGGACGATTGCCTAAACGGTTTTTACCCCTTGTGTGCAAAACGGTCCGTTACATATAATATACAGCTTAATGTACGGCATACAGCTTAATGTATGTTATACAGCTTAATGTACGATATATACAGCTTAATGAAGTGGTTCTGGTGCCTATTGCCTGTCTCTGTAGTACTTTTCATGTCAACACTGCCTTTTCCGATTTCACATTACAACACCTCTAGAGGCAGTCACTCAGACAGTGCACAGTTAGAAGCACTGAGGTTCAGCGTCTCCACATTCTGCATGGAGGTGCTTAACGCTCCCCACTGAGATGCATTGGTTCATGAGGATATGCTGGTTAGCCAGGGCATCTCTGTGTTCTTACAACTATAGTATTCCTGACACTATAGTGTTCCTATAATGTTGTGGTTTTGGTGCATAGACCCTGTCCCAGCAGTCAGATGAATGTAACCATTTCACCATTTGCGAGAAACAACAATGCTTGCATTTGTCCGTCTGGATGTCTCTAGCCGCTGTCAGTCACACAATGAATAATTGAAAGTCTTTGCATACAATGGTCACAATGCTTTTCATAGAGAAGCACTGGATTCAGTAAGAAGCATCCAGTTTGCTGAGAGAGGTGATATCCGTGCATGTCCAACAGATCCCCAATGTTTCTCTGTGAGATCCTCAGTGCTTCTCTATGAAATCCCCAGTGCTTCTCTATGAGATCCCCAGTGCTTCTCTATGAGATCCCCAGTGCTTCTCTATGAGAAATGCAGTGCTTCTCTATGAAATCCCCAGTATTTCTCTATGAGATCCCCAGTGTTTCTCTATGTGATCTCCAGTGCTTCTCTATGAGAAATGCAGTGCTTCTCTATGAAATCCCCAGTATTTCTCTATGAAATCCCCAGTGTTTCTCTATGAGATCCCCAGTGTTTCTCTATGAAATCCCCAGTGTTTCTCTATGTGATCCCCAATGCTTCTCTATGCAATCCCCAGTGCTTCTCTATGCAATCCCCAGTGCTTCTCTTAGAACCCCGGTATTTATCTATGAGATCCCCAGTGTTTCTCTATGTGATCCCCAGTGTTTCTCTATGTGACCCCCAGTGCTTCTCTATGAGATTCCCAGTGCTTCTCTGAGAACCCCAGTATTTCTCTATGAGATCCCTAATGCTTCTCTATGAGATCCCCAGTGTTTCTCTATGAGACGCCCAGTGTTTCTCTATGTGATCCCCAGTGCTTCTTGTAACGGCACCCTCAGTATAACAGGGTTAAACCGCCGTTTAGTAGATCGTCCCCTTCCAGAGATACAGGCACAGCTACTGCAGAACACCAAACTCCCAAACCGCATGTAAGGGAATGCTCCAAACTCCCGAACTGCATACAAAATAGCACTCCAAACTCCCGAACTGGAACCTTACGAATAGCTGCTAGCAGACGAATAGGAAAAGCACCCAAACGGCTTACACTCCTAGCAATCAGTCTCTATCAGCATACAGTAAATCCCCCCAAGAACGAGACAGAGCTCTGTGTTGAGGGTCAAACAGTGGTCTGGTTTATTGAGGGCTACCTGCCCAGTATTTATGCAGGTCTCCCACCTGGTGGACACTCCCCTAGGGGTCCAAATGGGAGACTGTGACAAAGGACAGACGTGAACCAATGACAGACACACAGAGGTAAAACATCCCAACAATGCATCCTAACTTCCCTGCCTCTGTCCTGGAGATAATTGGGAAGTAATCCAATTATCTCCCAGGACAGAGGCAAAACTCCATTAACCACATGGCAGTAAAAGACAGTAAAAGACATAAAAATGTATAAAGTTACAACTGTTGCACAAAACATATACATTCTACCTATCCCCATTTAGCTTAGATGTTTTCACCTCCTCTACCTTTACCTAGGACCCATGCTGCCCCCTCTGAGCCTACCTCTGTCCTGGCTGTCCCTCTCTCTGGTCCCTCTGTTACATCCACAAATCTGGCAGGGTTGCCCCCCCCTACTGTGCTTCCCCCAGCACCTGGGGTGGGTGGGCAGGGTTTTTTCTCACCTGTCCTGTCTTCACAGATTCCTCCTGGTCAGCTCGCGAATCGGTTCCCTGACGCTGTGTCTGGTACGGTGCTTCCTGCGGTCGCAGTTCCCTCGGGGCCTTCGCAGGCTAGTGCGCAAGTTGCGGTTCCGCTGCTACCCTCGAATTCGGCTCCTGCCGGTGAGTATTCTGCTTTCGCCGGATTAGATTCAGGGGGCGTTGGCGCACGCGAGTTGCATGAGTGGGGTTCGGTGCTCCAAGCTATCAAGAATGTTCTTATAACTCTTGAGCGGGGACCTCGCCCTGGAGCCCCTCCCCCAGTGGCCGTGGATAGCCAACTTCGGGCGGGCTGGGCTAGTTCCGCAGGGTGTGATTTTGCGGGGGTTGCACCTGACACTTCTTTACAGGTCACCACCCCCCTGGCCTCGGCGCCACCGCTAGTGACATCTGAGTCCTCTGTGAGTGCTACTGGGAACGCCGTGGTTGTCTCGGGTCTAGGGGTAGCACCCGCTGCGCATGGGGCAGCTTACATGTGCTGGTCAGGCCCCCTGGGCCTCCACCTGACGCCTGATTTGAGGGCTAAAGTAGAAAAAGGGGAATTCGTAGAAATTTTTTCCCTCCTCCCTTTGGAAGATCTTCCTCGGGTGGATGCGGATGCTAAGGAGTCTGAAAAAGACAAAGAGAAGTTTCGGTATCGGAAGATTCCGAAAACTTTTGGTAACTGGATTAGGGCCTTTTCTATCCTGGCTAGCGTGATAGGTGAAAAGACTCCCAGCAAATTCTCTTCCCTGTTTTGCTACCAGGACATGATATGGAACGCTTGTCGGGTTTATGGCGGGTTAGGGTGGTGGCGGTATGATGAACAGTTCCGCCAACGGTTTGCAGTTCGCCCTTCCACGAGTTGGGATCAAATGGATATCGGCTTGTGGTTGGCCATCATGACCCGCCCAGCTTCACATCAAGGGGGCCTTTCGTCCTTTCTTGGGGGGGCCGGCGCTGGGTCCTCATCTTCAGCGTCGGCCAGTCAGCGGAAGACTGGGTTCTGTTGGCAATATAATGACGGCCAATGTAAGTTCGGTTCAGCCTGCCGCTTCAAGCATGAATGTTCCGGGTGCGGCGGTTCCCACCCAGCTTTAAAATGCTTCAAACGTGGCAAGACTGGCGACAAAGGAGATGCCATGGGCGCTAAGGGCGAGGACGCCAGTGGACGTCGACGCGATGCGCCCTTGGCTAAAGCGTTATAGCAATAAGAAGGCGGCTGCCTTGTTATTGGAGGGTTTTGGGCAAGGGTTTTGGATCCCTCACCGGGCCCGGCAGGTCTCCGGTTTCTGCCGGAACCTGAGATCAGTGGCCGATCATCCGGGGGTGGTCAGGGAAAAATTGGCTAAGGAAGTAGCCTTGGGTCGCATGGCGGGCCCCTTTCGGGAACCTCCACTCACCAATTTGAGGGTTTCACCGCTAGGCGTGGTGCCTAAAAGGGAACCAGGCAAGTTTAGGCTGATTCACCATTTATCGCACCCACAGGGGGGCTCGGTGAATGATGACATTGCCGCTGAATTGTGCCGCGTTTCCTACGCGTCCTTTGACGCGGCGGTGGATATGGTCAGGGCTGCTGGCTCCGGGGCACTTATGGCAAAAACTGACATTGAGTCGGCTTTTCGCCTCCTACCGGTTCACCCGGAGTGTCACCACCTCCTGGGTTGTATATTCGAAGGTCATTATTATGTGGATATGTGCCTCCCGA